GGAGTTGTAAATACTTTAGACCATACTTATTCGGAAGAGAATTTATAATTTTTACAGATCATAAACCACTACAATGGTTGTTTTCGTTAAAAGAACCTAATTCACGACTAGTGAGATGGCGGTTACAACTCGAAGAATTTGATTATAAAATTAAATACCAAAAAGGAACCCTTAATAAAGTTGCGGATTGTCTTTCACGAATAGACACCGATAATGAAATAAATGTACTAGAATCTGAATCTTTATGTGTAAATCTTGATGACATAAATGAAGTAATACAAAAAGAAATAGAAAACTTATCAGATCCAAATCAAGAAATTACAGATCAATTGTTTGATCCAAATGACTTTTATCTTCCTGAGTTAAGTAATGAAGAAATTTCTGAAACATTAGATGACAAGAATGAACAAGAAAAAAGAATAAACATAATATCAGATATACAGATTAGACCCCCAAATGTTAATACAAGTGGAAATGAAGATACTGATGGAAACACAGTACATACTTCAGCTGAAAATCCAATTCTTAGTATACCAATCACAGATCGAGCCTTGAATTTGTATAAAAATCAAATATTATTAACTTATGGAGAAATTAATGAAATAAAAACTAAAACACAAAAGATATTTGACAATACAAGACTTTTTGTTATCTTACCTCAAAGAGATCTGCAAAAAGGAATCATAAATTTTGTTAAAGATTATATAGACCCAAGAAAATTATATGCCTTGTATTTTAGACCACCACTATCACCTGAAACATTTGTAGTTGCATTGCAAAATTATTTTAAAAATTCTGCATTCAAATTTGTGCACTGTACAAAAATATTAGATGATATTGAGACAACCGACGAACAAAAAGAAAAACTTAACTATTATCATGTTTACAAAAAAGGACATCGTGGTATAAATGAGCTAAAAATGTCAATGAGTTCACAATACTACTGGCCCAATATGTCAGAAGATATAGAACAGTATGTCAACAATTGTGAAGTTTGTTTAAAAAATAAATATGATAGAGACCCACCAGTCATTAAATTTAATCTCACACCAACGGCTTCTAAGCCATTTGATCATATTCACATGGATGTATTTAGAATATCCAATACACCATTTCTTACAATAATTGATGCATTTTCTCGATACGGACAAGCATATCAAATTCCTAGTATTAGTGGAATTTCAATAGTCGATGGTTTGCTAAACTATATCACACATCATGGATTACCCTATAAAATAACAACTGACTCCGGTACTGAATTCAAAAACTATGACCTAGAAGATTTTTGTAAATTACATAAAATAGAATTACATTTTACTACTCCTAAGAATAGCAATTCGAATTCTCCGGTAGAACGTTTCCATTCTTCCTTAATAGAACATTTTAGATGCCTGAGGGAAACAAATAAAGATATGTCAGTAGAACAATTAATGAAGCATTGCATATTATCATATAATAATTCAATTCATTCTGTTACTAAATTTACGCCATTTGAAATTATTAAAGGGCATATAAATAATCCAGACCCATTCGACAATAATGATCATTTAATTTTATCACAATACGTGCAGAACCATAAAGAATCTTGCAAAATATTATACGAAAAAATACGAGAACGAAATGCCAACGTAAAACATAAACAGATTGAAAAAAGCAATTTAACAAGGTCAGATCCACACGACTATACAAATGAGAACAAAGCTTATATTAAAAGTGGAAATCGCAATAAAGCACTTCCTAAGTTTAAACAAACAACTATTATCAACGATTGTGGGTTGTTGTTGGAAACAGATAAGGGATTGTATCATAAAAGCACAGTTCGCAAACCCAGATCTAAAAAAAGAAATTCTTTGCAGGTTCAACAAAATGAAGACAATAATCTTCTTGACCCTGATCCAGATGATAATATACCAGACGTCCCAGATTAGAGGTGACACCGATATTAATATAACACCTCTTGAAAACCTTTTACTCCCGATTAAATTAGGCACATGTAGATTAATTTATAGTAAACATACATTTATCCATTATATAAACTTAAAGGAAATAGTTAGACAAGTAGAATCTCTTAAAGTTAATTTTCAAATAATAAAAACTAGTGTAGTGAAAGTTAATGCCTCAAATCCTATTTCATATCATGGATTGGCAGAAAACATGTTAGAAAGAACAGAAATTTTAATTAATACATTAGAGAAAAAATTAGAAAACATATATCCCCATATTCGGTCAAAAAGAGGCCTAATTGATGGCCTAGGTAAAGTAAATAAATACTTATTTGGAAATTTAGATTCAGAAGACGGAGATAGATATGATAAAGCAATAGAAGTACTAGAAAATAATCAGAAACAAATTATTCATGAGACGAACTTACAAATATCTTTATATAAAAAACTAATTGATCATTATAACAAATCTCTAGAAATACTTTGGCAAAACCAAGAAAACTTACAACATAACTTACAAAAGTTTCAATTAGAAATTCAAAACACTATAAACAGTTTGGGAAATTATATTACTTTTCAAGGTACCATAAGTCAAATAAATTTAGATTGTCAAAATATGATAGATTTTATTGAAAATATAGCAAATGGAATTATGTTTTCAAAATTAAACACATTACATAGTTCAATTATTTCGAGTCAAGAAATTCAAGATATGATCAAATATTTGCATAGTATTTACCAACCTTCTCAAATTCCAAAATTTATAAATATTTTAACATATTACATGCTATTAGGGACACAAGTAACTTTTTCGAATTCAAAATTGATCTTTGCTACTCACATTCCTATCCTAAAACCAAATGTCCTTGATTTTTATCATATTTACCCAATAATTCAAAAGAACAAGATGTTCACTCCCACATACCCTTATTTGGCACGAATCTCTGACGAGACGCACCTACAAAAAGAAGAATGTCCCATTTTAGAAGAAACATATTATTGTAAAGAAGATACCATACTACAAGACAATTGCACCTTACGTTTCCTCAATGGTCAAAGTTCATCCCAATGTTTTACCACAGAAGTCACTCTTCAAGAATCCATTATCGAACAAGTAACTAATAATGAAGTATTGATAATACCATCGACATCAGAACGAGTCCAATCAAAGTGCAAGAGAGACCAAATTTTTGAAGTACACAGTCCATCTCTCATCAGTATACCAGAAAATTGTGAAGTTATAATCAACCAATTGAAATTCAATAACAATATCAAAATTCATAGAGGAAAAGCTCTAATTTTACCAAAAATAAAATATTTTTCTACAGAAAACATACAAAAATTCCAGAGCCATAACATTACCAAAATTGACTTTGAGAATCTTTATGCAATTAATAATATGGCCAAACAGTTAGTCCCAATTAAAGACACAAATATTCCTTCACATACCACTCCATTGGTGACCACCTCAGTCATAGCAGTTATTCTAATTTTGATCATTCTATATATTATTAAACAAAGAAGATCAAAACAACGGAACGAGCATGAAATAGAATTACAAGAAGATTCCGGCATTGAAGAAGATTCCACAAACCAGCATCCCAAAAATAATTCCATTATTTTTCGGACTCAGTGAGGGAGGAGTTACGCCACTGGATTCCACAGAATCTGCACATTGTAGGACAATAGAAACTACGCAATATTATATTATAAATAGAGGAACATTTGAATTACGATAACTTTTGCTTCAAACTTTTGTTTCATAGTTTTTGTTCATAACTTTTGCTTCATAACTTTTGTTTAACTTTTGTTTAAGAACTTTTGTCTACATAATTTGTAAATTTGTATTTTCGAAACAAAATAATTTTTAAAAACTCGTTTTCGGAACTCAAAGTTATAATTTGCTACACCTCGGCGTCACCGAGCTTATAAATTTATTTTGCATTGTATAGCGTCACTCTTATTTTGCATTTTACTGTAGTAAGTATTAGTAAGTTTTAGTCCTTTGTCAATAAAGTTCTTTTTTAAAAATATCGTTGTTGGACTTGAAACATTATTTACATATATAATATTATATATATATATATATATATATATATATATATATATATTAATATTATTATTTATGTGATATGTTTTGTATTATTTATTAAACGTTTATAATTATTTTAGGCTTTTGTATTTCAAAATAATCACTGTTTGACCGAGAACTGTCCATTTTGAAATCCGTTAGGGTAATATCTAATTGGCAAATCTTTTACGTGTTTGGTTCATACGCTGGTGATTGTGAGTTCGAATCCCAATCATGAATTTCCTTTTTTATTTTTAAAATATTTTAAAACCTCACGTTAATCTTATTAAATGTACGTAATATACGCAAAATTGCTAAATTTTAAAATTTACAACATAATCCGAGTTGTTGGTTTTTTATTTTTATTTTCGTAAAGTAAGTTGTGTATATTGGTTGTAAGTTTTAAATACTTATGAATATTACATTTTAATTTATATTGCATTATTATATTGAATTATGTTGCAGTGTATTTATTGTATTGTAATTTTTATATTAATAACAAAATAAACAATGAATTTTACTGTAGAGTATGTGTAAAAATTTTTTTTTGCATTCAACTCCTTTTATACGTATATAAATAAAAAAATATATATTTTCATTAAAATATTGATACAATCCTTCATTTACTATACTCCTATTACGGGTCAAATGTTTATATAAAGCAAACGATGCACCATATACCTATATAACTAATTATTTTTCTCTTTCTATATAACTAATTTTTAACGCCGAACGCGTGTATAGAAGTATAACTTCTACCGGCAGTCCCACTGGACTGCCACACCCGTTTTTTTATTACATATAATCCTAATTTCAAAAATATATTAATCTCCAGAAATCTTCTAAGGTATCCAGTGACTAACAAATAAAAATCGAGATAGAAAAGAAGAATCTATTTTTTAGCAACTATTTTGGGTTTAAATAACACAATTAAAAATTTAGAATAGTATTTATTGTTTTATTAAGATTTTTTCAAATATTCGCAGATCAAAGGAAACGGCGAGAAGCACAACCAACCACCACATTTCCCTATAATATTGGCTGTGAGACAGCATTTGGAAAATGGGTTAAAGCTCATGCTGTAGACATCGGAGCAGTGTGTTTTACGTTAGCAGTGTTACAAGTAAGTATAGTGTCAATTTTAATTGTGTATCAGAGAATTGCGTACATTTAAGCCAAAGCAAATTCTCAAAAATTTAGGTAGGTAGGCGATGGATTTTATTGTGGTGGCCAGTTAGAATCTGAATTTATCCATCATTCTTTAAATTCGTATATCTGTTCGCCGCAAACTTATTTCGAATTAGTTTGCTGATAGTCTTGCTTGTATTTGATCATATCGTAGTAGAAGATGCAAGCTATAGAAATGTTAAGCGAACAGGGAAAATCCTTGCTAATGGTGAACAGATTTAAATATAATTTCCACAAGTTATTGTCGGGAGAATTTAAGCGATTGCAGTGTGCACACCGTGGATGTAAGTCGTACATGAAAACGGAAATTTCCGCACCGTATACAGTGCTCGACTTTGGTGATGAGCACAACCATGAAACCAACAGTCTGTAAACGCTAAACCGCCAAAAACTTCTTCACAAAGAAGTGACAAGTTCTAGCATTAAAACTCTTACTGTGAATGTTGTACATCTGATAAGGAACTGCATGTAGTACAATCGGAGGAGGTATTACCGAAACTACCATCGAGTATGAAGGAAGTGTATAAATTGCTAAATGCAATTAAAAGAACGACAAATTAAGAAGAGCAGTTCCTGTTAAAGAACAATCGGACGCCAATTTTGTGGTGTATTCTTGTGAGAAAAATTTAAAATTTTTATGCAATTTAAATACCATTTATAATGGACGAAACCTTTAAATGCCGCACTGCAAACCTGTTTCCTTAGATTCGTTTTGGCATACTTTAGATCCCTTTCTATTTCGGCTAGGTCATTAAACAATATTCCTTGTTTTTTACCCCTAGTTATTTGACTTCTATTTTTATTGCAGCTATTTTCACTGTTTGCAAGCTCATTTGGCCACCGCTACATTTGCGTCTTGTTTAATTGTTGTCGGATCGAATCCTTGTCGGATTCGATCTTTCAGTGCATCTTTTTCCAATTTCGTGATAATACATGATTTTTTAACTTCCCTCTTCATGTCTTTTTCTCTATACCCATACCCAGCTTAAATTTAATAAAGCGGTGGAGACTTACCGACTCATCGTCGAGGACTATCCACTCATCTACTTTATTTGCGCATTTGTCTGAGCTAAACGTCAAGTATATTATAGATGCATTTCTCACAAATATTGGTTTATGCTCCCTATTATGCACGATTAGTTTATTTTGTCTAACCGCTCGGCAAGTATCTTACCCCTTCTATCTTCTTTTTTTGATTCCATTCACACGACTTCGAGTTAAAATCTTCTGCTATTATCAGTTTCCTCTTGGTTCGGTCCATGTTTTGTTTCAGATCTTGCAGGTATTTTTCAAATCCTTCCATGGTTTTATTTGGTGATAAATAACACGAGTAGATTCTATAATCGCCGACATTTATTCACCAGAAACTATTACTACTACTACTGCACTACCATGATACTATGACTTTCAAGATAAAACCACTTCGCAATCGAATTTTGTACGTCGATGCGCATGACGTCACTTGGTGATAAAAGTTTATCCCTAATTTAATATTCTGAAATATATTTTATCTAAAAGTGCACACATTTACTTATCAACGTATAGATAAACGATAAAATAATACTAAATCTGACAAAACTCCATGCAAAACAGAACATTTCTGGTGATATTAGTCACCAAATGACGTCACACGTGCAAAATAGATAGACTGATCGCGTGCGCGTCGGTTTATCTCTAGAAGTTCATAGTATCATGCTGCACTACTATATTTTAACAAACTAACAAATTTCGCGGAACACTAACTACTCTTGTACTGTATTCTATTCGAAAGTACAAACTAGACTGCCGACTTAATCTACTTCCTAAATACCACATAAGAAGAGGGGGCGTGGGATTCTAACCTAGCCAGAGAACTACGAACGCAGAGAAGCGACACTCCTTTGATCTTGCGTGGGCAAGCCGCCAACGAGTGAAAATGACAGGAAAGCACCTTATTTTTTAATAGTCAGTGGGCATATTACACAATATAAATTCTTAAATAAAATTGAGCATTTATGTTGACTTTCAATAAATATGAAATATTGCACTGAAAAAATAATTACATGCAGGGCCGGCTTTTGTTGACATTCTAAATGGTGTAATTATTTTTGATTTACAAAAGGTTGCAAATACATCGCACAACGCAAAGTAATGGTGAAAATCGTATTGATGGAACCATAGATGAAAATACTTTTTTGTTTATTCTGATGTTGACGTTGATAATACAATAATACACCGATTCTTTTTGGCTTGTGTTGATACGAGATATAATTTGTTCGTCGTGGAATTTCCTAATAAATTATCTTTATCCTAATAACCTAAAAAATAATCAAAAAAGTATTACGAATCATTACAAGAGAGCATTAGGAAGATAAAACGAATTTATATTATTGTCATTACACATGATTCGGATATACATAGTAAATCCAGACTTTCAGTTTAAACTAATATTTGGATACAATTTATTTTGTTTACAATAGATTCAGAGTTAATACATACGATTTTTAGTTGATTGGTATTGCCTTTAAAATTATTTGTAGTATCTAGTTTGCCTAAGCCGGATTTGTAACAATTATTTCTGGTTTTGTTGTTAACTGCGGTTAGTACAATTCTTATACTTGAAGTCAAAACGACGAACCATTGAACCTTCAGGCCAGATACTGGGATTGAGAACTTCATTTTTATAATCCAATGGATATGAAACTTTAAAGTTTGCTTGGTACTCCGTAACCTTTAACTTCTTGAAGTTAAAATGTATATTTGGAGCATTTACCTTTAAATTATTGGTCAAATCTTCCGTTGTCTGTTGTGGAATTATATAACGGTGTAAATAAATAATGATTGATTGGAGTAAGATTTATGTCTGTTTACTCTTAATATTGGCTATGGGCATATGTGCTTGGTTGTAAATATAGTAATTGTCATCCAGTTCTAGTCTGTAAAAATGTAACTAACTTTCGCAATAAAATAATTACTAAAATACTAGATAGTTGTGTCTGAGATTAGCGAATCGACTATACATACACTACATACATTCAGTATCATTGTATATCCAAGATGGACGCCGCTACACAATAGCGGATTACTTATTTTTTCACAACTACTTCAATATGGGTATCAAATGAAAGGGTTTGACTAGTAGAAAAGAGTTTTTTGTATTTATAAATAATACTTCATTACTAACAACTATAAGAGTATTAGTATATTCTAAGTGTATTGTAAGTAATGAAGTATTTAACTTTTGTCAATATCTCATCTTAATAAATTTACAGTTTTCTCCTAATTAAGTCTCAAAATTGTCACTAAATATTGAGATATACAATAAATGAAGTTTTAATATTTTTTATTTGTAATTCCCATTTAAATATTTATTCCCTAAATATGTTGTGTACTTCGATCCATATATTTGATCTTTGTTATTTATATTTAACGAATTAAACATTGACAGACAACTTTTGTATATAGCAAAAAGTAGATGAGCATTTAGTTTTTTCATAATTTAATGTAAGTTTGTTTGTTGAAAAAGACAGCAAATATTTGAAGTTATGTTAATGTAAGTTTGTTTATTTGCAATCATGTTTTTATTTTGAAGTCTTGTTCTGTTATAATTTTAAGATTTTCCCAATTTTCGATCTAATTATGTTTCCAACAATTTTTAGTTTGAGCATTTTAGGAATTTCTTTGTTTCGTTTAAATCAAATATTCTCGTGTATAAAACACTCTATATATTTTTATTTCCTAAAAATACTATATTCGTATTGTTGTCTGCGAGCGCTTTCACACCAGTAGGCCAACATCTGTGTTGATTTTTTGACCTGAGCCTTCGGAGACAATAAATTTAATGTGTGTTCGTAGTTCTCTCGTTTTTATTCTGAACTATCCCTTGTCAAACCAAAATTTATTTTTTTATTGCTTCACTAAACGAGAGCTCGGGCGGACACGTCGGTGTCGGCTTACTCAAAGTCAAATTAATACTATTATGTAATAACTAATAATAATTACAAAGCAATAGTAATTACCTGTTATTATTCTTAGGAAATCTAAATAAACTTATTCCTTTTCCTGTCACAGATGAACATCCGCGAAACGCACAACAATAACCAGAAGACATTTTAAATACTTATAAATTAAACTTTTAACTATAAACTATAACTATACACTTATATATTTAACTTATATATTTTAACTATAACTATAAACTTTTAACTACTAAATAATTAGATAAATGGTCAAATGCACTTGTATAGTCGAGAGTTTACCACAGATGCCTACGGACTATCGTAAGCAACTTAAAATTGAAGAAAACGCACGTGTTTTTGAAGTAAAGCACCTTATTTGGGTCATGCGTATACAGAAAATATACACGAATTCCGGGCCTCGTGTCGCTTCTCTGTGTTCGTATGTTCTCTGACTTAGCGTCGTGTCTATTTGTTTGTCTGACATTGGCGTTCATTCAGCTTTTAACTAGCACTTCCAATATTACTAAAAAATATATAATATCTAAACGATAAGGAGCATTGTACGAAGGACCAAAAATAATAACTCGTAGACTTTGGCCATTCTCATTAACTATTACATTGTTAGGAGATTTTACATATACAGAGGTGTGTCTACAATATGATGACCTTTATTACAAGATGAACTTCAATTTGTTTATGCTATTGATTTATACCACATTAAAAAAATTTAAACATTACTAATCATGAATCAAATCTGTTTTAGCTCATCGGAATCGGATTCTCCTGCCATTTGTCCAAACAGTTGAAGAATTCTTATTATAGTACATAAAGTAGTTATCAAAACACTAATTATGTTATTTTTTAAGAACCGTTGTTATTTTTTGAAATTTTCTTTTCCTTATTTTTATTTTTAAGTATAGATATTTTATTTCAATATTTCAAGAGAAACGAATAAAAAATTCTTTTTTTGTACTGAATGTAAGATTTTTAATTTTGTACTTAAATTTTTGGTAAAGAAAAATCCTAATTTTGTTATTAAATGAAGCACAATTAAATTTTTCACAATTGAATTTTAAGAATTTAGTATAGATGCTGTAATGGGCACTTAATTTTAATTAGTTCACTTTAGAATAAATTCAGTAGTTGTTAAATATTGTAAAGTATTTAAAAATAAAAAATTGGAAAGAAATGTATACCAGAACGTTATTGTTATGAATTACAGTATTTTTTAAATAAATAACCATACATGGTGAATATTTTTGGTTTTGATATAACTAATAACTACATCTTAAAAAAATTGTCAATTTCATAATTTTTGTTAAAAATATAATCGAGATAATATTTATTTTTAGCAATGAGATATTTATTGCAGTTTTTTATATTATAAATGATTCATATTATACTACATAGCCAACTTAAAAAAAAAACCAAAAAGTAGAGTATAAAAGTTACTATATGTAACTATTCCAGGAATCAAAATATTGATTTTAATATACCTATATTAAGGGGACCAAGACAATGAACTGGTAGTTAGCAATATAAATATAGAAAAAGTAGTGAAAGCAGTAACAAAAAAAATATTATGGTCGTCAAGGGACGCCCAGAGGATTTGAAACATTATAGTAATTAATAAAACAATAGTAAAAATAAAGTTATTGCGTATACAAACGACGGCACGTCGAAAAATTTTAGGCGAATAGTTTTTTTAACTTCAGTTATTTTAACAATCTGTTCCTTCCATTTTAACAATAAGTAAAATTCTATTACATAATGGTCATGTAGGGAGAACTTCCAATGAAGTTTCCGTTTAACTAAAAATTCAATAATGACAACAACAATTCAATTAATTTCTAAAGGTTACTTAATATGTATTTAAGTGTGATCTTTAAATCTAGTTATTACGCCTGTTTATATCGGTTTAGTCTGCGCACTTCACCACTAATGTCAAACAACTCACTCGTGAGCAAGTTGGAATGCACACATCCCCACTTCTTAGTTTCTCATTTGTATTTTCTAGTTAGAAATTAGTCTAGTTATAAGTTAAAGACAGTAGGAACTTTTAAGTCTCTTCCTTTCACTTCATTAGGCACGTACCAGGGAACATTTACTATAATTCTTGGAACTTTATTTTGAACTGTTTGAATCATTTCCAAGGTAGAATTACTGGCTGTATCTTATTATTGCAACTCGTAAGTATACACAGGTTTTATTACATATATATATATACATATATATATATATATATATATATATATATATATATATATATATATATATATATATATATATATACAGTGGAACCTCGATTATCCGTCAGGGCACCGGACCAAGGGTATGACGGATAATCGAAAAGACGGTTAACAGAACATTAAAAAAAATTCATAATATAACTCTTAAATTTTATTTGTATGTTTTATTTGACAATATAAGAGGGAGTTATGTTAGTACACTCGAATAAATTTGATTTAAATTATTCCGAAATCTGTGTTTGTTTTATTGTTCTTGCCGAGAATATCACTTGATGAATTTTTGTGTGTGCGATGCAGCTCCTCTAGCTTATTTATAGTAAATAAATCTATGTGAGTTGTAATAGCATCATCAACATCGCCACCATCGAAGTTTCTGTCAACTTCTGAACCAGTTTTATCCGCCTCTGTTGCCATTTCAACGATTTCATCATCTGTCAACAATCGATAGCCGTTTGCGTCTTCATCACAAATTAACCATTCGTTTATGCCATCTTTAGGCAACGAAAACAAAACAATTGATTCAGCCATAACTTCATTTAAGGGTGGCATTTTCATCTTAAGTTGATTCAGGCCATAATTTATTCCACGCGCTTTTCAGCGTTACTTCCGAAACATCAGCCCAAGTATCCACAGCATTGTCGACTACGTGTTTTAAATTGTATGCTTTCCAGTATTCTGGAAAAGAATATTACTCTTCCATAACTAGGTTTGGAATAAATTTTTTTCTGTATCTACTTTTGAATGTTTTGATGACCGATTAATGATCCATTGGCTGTATCAATGATGTTGTATTCGCAGGCAGAATAGAGTACGTGATATTTTTATCGTCACTCCGCAGCATACCGGCTTTAGGATGGGCAGGTGGATTATCCAAAATGAGAATCTTCTTTGGTGGACAATTTTTTGCAAACAAAGTGAATTGATAACTAAATTTTTACTTATGTTGTCAATATAACTTATGCATGTGTGGACCCTGACGGTTAACAGAGGTGACGGTTAATAGAGAGACGGATAATCGAGGTTCCACTGTATATATATATATATATATATATATATACATATATATATATATATATATATATATATATATATATATATACATATATATATATACATATATATATATATATATATATATATATATATATATATATATATATATACATATAAAGATATATTTTTTTCTGTTCCCAGCTGCGATTTTTGGCCAATCATTCTTCGGATTTTATGTAGGTTAGGCCCAAGCTGTTTTTTAGTAAAGATATGTTCCTACAAGCGAGACTTCCATCCAAATGTATACCTAGATATTTTGTGTAGTCTGCTTGTATTAGATCACTAGCTTTTAAATTAACTGGCAGATAAGTTTCACGTCGCATTGTGAATGTCACCTGGCACGATTTTGCTTCATTTCAAGCCATTTTTGAATTTTGTTCAGATTAATTTGCATGTTTTATGATGCTTTTTGCGGGTTTATGTGTGATAAAAGAACAACCGTAGCAGTTCTGGTTAATCTGGTAGTTGGTAAGTCAGCAGTAAATAACATAATATCTAATAATATAAAATAGGGCCAATAATCCTGCCGAGTACACCAGATTTAACTTCGAATAGCTAGGCTTCTATAATAACCATGCTTCGTGCTGTTTAACTGCGGAATAACGATAGAATATGTAAGATTTCAAGATTAGATAATAATAGCTAGGAGTTTGTATGCATAGAAAGCCGGTGTGCCACACCTTGTTGAAAACTTGACAGATGTCCAAAAAGGCTGCAGTACAGTACATCTTGTTCTCATTATTGGTCACTATCTATCTATTTTAGCAAGCGAGTAACTTATATGGTTCCATGTTTGCTGCGGAAACCAAATTGATGTTGTGAGATAAGTTGAGCTCTATGAAGGTCGGCTCCAATCGTTTTATGAGAAGTTTTTCAAATACTTTAGAGATAATTAGTAGGACTTATAAGCCTATAGGACTTTAATTCATTGGCACATTTATCAGGTTTTATGATCATCAGAATTTCTGCAACTTTCGGTTGGTGAGGAAAATGACTTTGTAAATGCCTTTATTGTCGGATTAGGTCGTATTCAGGGGCATTTCTAGAATTAATTTCGTTCATTATCACATGAGAGATTTCTTTACAAGTAAATTTTGGAATCAGCAAATCCATCTGATTAGGTGATTCAAGAAATATTTGTAATTCATTGTATTCCTCTGTTTATACGTAGTGGTATGGTTTAAAAACATTTTTTTTTATATTTGCTCAATTTTTTTTGGCAGATTCTATTTGCCTTTTCCATATTATTTTTAGCCTAGAGTCTAGAGTTGTCTCTTATCGGGGGTATTTGTTGCGGGCTGCTTGATTTTTCCTTTTCTACGCCAGAAAGAATAATATGTTGCTTCTGTAGATGTTAGACATTCTAGATATGTTTTTATAGTTGATTTTTAATCATGTGTAATAATGGTTTCAGTTTTGATGTGATTTTATTATAGTTTCTTTTATTTGTTGCAGTTCTGCATTTTTTGTTATTTTATGCAAAGTCGCCTTTTTCTCTAACGACAATTGGGTTTTAATCCTTATATGTATTGTTATTAATAGATGGAATGCATACCAAGCAGCTGTTTAGATTCTAAATGTAATGTTTTTCAATGTCACTTCTATCATATTGTGATTTAAGGAAAACATTTAGTTCGATTGTTCCGTTTAGTTTTTCTCTAAAAGCAACCTAATTTGTGTTTTTGTTAAATAGATGTAGATCTTTTGGTTTTTGCGCTACCTCAGCGAAGTAGATTAACAGATTTGAAGAATAATTGGATGAAAGATTAAATCTGGATTCTATTTTAGATGTTTGGTATTAATACCCTGGGAATAGATGGGTGGAATACTTTACCCAGGCACTTAATATAGAGGAAGAAGAGAAAAACTTGGAAGATGAGAGAGATAAGGTAAAGGAAACAGACGAGAGGGAAGAAGAACCACCAACGATTCTTGAAGTGAAAGATGCAGTTAAAAAGCTAGCCAGAAACAAATCACTCGAAATAGATACTCTCCCAGCTAAACTATATAAAGAAGGTGGCCATGATACTATAATGGCATGACAGCAGCTTATAAAACAAAATATGTACACAGAAATCTCTCCACAATGATTGGAATATTGGAATACTTTGTACCATACACAGAAAAAGAGATATCTTTGAATGTTCCAACCACAGGGAAGTTACGCTTCTAAATGCAGCGTATAAAATATTTTCCACAGTACTATGTCATCGTATGGCACCATATGCAGAAAAAAACAGTAGGACAATACCAGCCTGGTTTTAGATGTGGTAAATCAACAATTCATCAGACTGCAACCCTGAATCCAATTTTGAAAAAAAAAACACTGGAATATAGCATTGATACTCATCACATATTTATAGACTACAAAACAGCCTACGACTCTGTGAATAGAAGAGAAATGTTCAAATGAAAGAGCTAGGAATACCAAATCAGTTGGTAACTGTAACAAAACTAACTTGAAAAAGTTGAATGTAGAGTACGAATTCAGGGGGAACTGTCTGAAACTTTTAAAATAATTAACGGGCTGCGCCAGGGAGGTCGTATCTCCTGTATACTGTTCAATCTGACTCTAGAAAAAGTAATACCTATGTCACAAATCACAACCACTGGTTCATTATATAATAAATCAGTGCAAATCCTGGGCTATGTTAATAATATCAATATTATTGGGAGAACGGAAAACGCTGTACGAGAGGCGTATGTAGCATTAAAAGAATCAGCTACAAAAATGGGTTTGATATTAAACACCAACAAAACGAAGTATATGAAAAAATGCACGCAACCACAAATACTACGACCACTTGTTATAGAAAACGACTCATCGAAGCAGTGAACGAATTTGTATACCTGGGAGCGCTCCCTAACACTGAAAATAATACTACCGCTGAGATAAACTGCAGAATTTGCACGACCAGCAGATGCTATTTTGGGTTCGATCTCATCCTT